TCCGTCGTCTTCTTCTCCACCTCATGCACACTCTGGTCCGGTGTCTCTAGTTCAATCTCGATGGCGGGTTCTGCTCGTCTCCCTTCCATGCCCTCTTTTGTTTTGTTCTCTGTATTACTCCTCGTGTTGACCATGCTAACTGAAAAGTTCTTGTTCGTTATCTTTGGGCCCATTGATGTCGTTTTACGTAGCGACGAGTTATATTTTGTCTTTGATTCAGTGGATCTTTTTTCAGCCACCGGTACCTTGCTCCATCTCATTATTTTTATTTACAATTGTTCCTATTTACAGTATTACTATAAACAAAATTCTACTCAAAGTTAAAATCTCTTTTAACAAAAATAATAAAAAGAAATTTACAAATTAAGAGAAACAACGTTTCCTAAGCTTTTTTGAAAATTTTACATGTTCTTGATCCCCACAGTACCGGATCTATCGCGATTTAACTTTCTGACTAGTCCTATTGCTTTTAATTTTGCGATTGGTTACTTCAACCAGTCTTAGTACTCTTTAGTACCGTCATCCCCCTTCTTTATACTGTTCCAAGACTTCCAGTCGCTGTCCCTATTCTTCTTTGTACTGTCCCGAGCTTTCTCTCTACTGTCCCAAGACTATTCAGTGCTGTCCCAGTACTTCTTGTTAGTGTCCCAAGACCACTGTCCCAAAACCCTTGCCTTAAGACGACTGTCCCAAGACTACTGTCCCAAGACTACTGTCCCAAGACTACTGTCCCAAGACTGCTGTCCCAAGACTAGTGTCCCAAGACTACTGTCCCAAGACTACTGTCCCAAGACCCTTGCCCTAAGACTACTGTCCCAAGACCACTGTCCCAAGACCACCGTCCCAAGACCAGTGTCCCAAGACCACTGTCCCAAGACCACTGTCCCAAGACCACTGTCCCAAGACCACTGTCCAGAGACCATTGTCCCAAGACCACTGTCCCAAGACCACTGTCCCAAGACCACTGTCCCAAGACCACTGTCCCAAGACCACTGTCCCAAGACCCGTGTCCCAAGACCACTGTCCCAAGACCACTGTCCCAAGACCAGTGTCCCAAGACCACTGTCCCAAGACCAATGTCCCAAGACCACTGTCCCAAGACCACTGTCCCAAGACCACTGTCCAGAGACCACTGTTCCAAGACCACTGTCCCAAGACCACTGTCCCAAGACCACTGTGCCAAGACTGCTGTCCCAAGACTACTGTCCCAAGACCAGTGTCCCAAGACTGTGTCGTACCAAGACTGCTCTGGCCCAAGACTGTCCCAAGACTGCACCGTCCCAAGACTGTCCCAAGACTGCACTGTCCCAAGACTGTCCCAAGACCGTACTGCTCCAAGACCGTCCCCAGACTGCAATGTCCCAAGACTTCTTCGGTACTGTCCCAAGACTTGTCACTAACTGTCTGGATACTAGGATCTCTTCTTCTTTGTTGTGGGGACTTTTTAGAACCACTGTACCGTGTACCACCACTTGAGCTCTAGTAAAAATTTTCCCAAAATCCCTGTCTTAATGGCCAAAATTCAAATACTGACCCCCTTGTATTTATCTCCCTCTCGTTTTTTCAGGCTATTTGAAACCCCAGTTTCTTTGCAGGGATCTTGTGATCACCTCTTCGTTCAAATACCAACAACAAATTTTCACCAAAACGTAAAAATTTAAACAGGAAAAATTATAAAAACAGAGAGATGAACCCACCTAAAATCCAAAGCTGACTGATGTCAACCTTTGTCCGAAAAAATGTCTGGTACCCGATTGCCACGCGTTTTCTCCCCCCTGCTAGCGATCTAATGGGGTATCACAAAAACTGTCTATGTCTGTTCCCCCCTACCGATACGACCAGGGTACCTGCCTTAACTCGATGTTGAATTTGGATATCAGCTTCTTATAACCTACGCGTGTAAGTATTTAATGTAACTAAATCGACGATGCCGAACAATTAGTTACTCTAATATGTCCCCCTTTTTTACAATTTACAAGCGCCAACCTCTAACCTAACCAGCCTACCTTCTAACCTCCCCCCTCTTTAGCCCCCCCTCTTAAGCCGAAAAATCCCTTAAGCGCCGGGTGCTAAACCTCTCGAGAGAAAACCGTAGACCTGTTTTCAGGCCTGCTTGTGTAAAAACTTCCTCAAAACAATGGGGCTCCGCTTATCCAATTTTACACTTATCTCCTATAAGGTAATGTGGATTTTAACGATAGCCGTTTGCCCAACTTGAGAACACCCCTGTGCGTCCTCTTCTTGTTGTAGCGATCCTCTGCTGGTTTTCCCCTTGACGTGCACTGCACTTGACAACAGCACCACCTTCCCACTTGGCTGGTCACCTCTTCCAGTCAAGTTTTCTAGCGGTTCAGCTTAGTCCTTGTGAACCACTTTCCCACTCGGCTGGTCACCTCTTCCAGTCAAGTCTCCTAGTGGTCCGGTTCTGTCCTTGTGAACCACTTTCCCACTCGGCTGGTCACCTCTTCCAGTCAAGTCTCCTAGAGGTCCGGCTAGGTTGCAAGCTATCTGAAAACCCTTAACAACGCCCCCCACTTGGGCACCTTATTGTAGTCACTGGTTTAGATTGCTAGATTGATCGAAACGATCGGTCTTATAAAACAGTATGGGTATACTATTTAATTAATATAAAGGTTTGATCCAACTAATCTGGTATCGAGGTCACTGTCATTTTTTTTAATGGTTTTTGTTCCTTTTTCTATACTTTTTTCTTGTTTTTGTCCCCCTAGTTACCCCCCTTACTCGGTTAGCTAAGCCTCGTTCGGAGAGCGTACCAGGAGTTTTCTCAAGTTTTCTTAAAAAGCTATCACGGTACAACCGGAAGGTTTACACGTTCCCGCTGAACCGTACCACCGGTACTCTAGAATGGGCATGCAGCCCGGAGATGAGTCAAGTGGGTTCGACTCCGTAGTCATGATGTCGTAAAAAACACAGGAGCGCCAAAAAACACTATGTAACAGTCGCCTACTTCGGTCACATATGAGGCTTAAGAAAAATAGGCCCTATAACCATTGGCTCAAGAGTCAGGGACACTATCTCTTGTGTTTTTCTACCTCAAAACGGTCGGAGCCAATTCGGTTCGCTTGCGACATGAGACTAGAACCCGTTACAGCTTAAAGACTACTACCAAAATATCCCCCCACTCTAGAAAATAAGAACGTCCCCATACTTAGGTCTCGAGATACCCAAAATACACGAACGCCGTTAAAAACAGGGTCGGAACAATCCGTGAAGTTACTCTTTTTAGACAGTGGAACTTTGATTCATTTCAGATGGATCAACCTAAAACTCGCCTTACCTCAACATAAAAATCATAAAACACACTCGAGAAAATTAAGTTAGGTACTTACATAGCAGCACACTCGAGAACTAGAGGTAACTAAATTAGTAAGCAACTTGAGAATGATCGGGGAATTAGGTTTAATTCAATAAGTTCTAATCGAACAAGTTTTATCTCAAGAATGGAGTTTTGGTTCTGGACCATTGGGTCACTTCGGTTGTCCACCTTTCCACCGGAGGCTCACTCTGGTTCAGCTAGATTGCGATCTTAATTTGTAATCAACGTCTCCTATATCAAGATAGGACAGCTCTACTCTCGTGGTTTTTATTGTTATCTTGGAAATTGCGAATAGCATTTTCCCGCTGTTTTTCTGTCACTTTCCCGCTGTTGTTAATTCGGTCGTTCTAGTCTTTTTTTCTGTTTTCAGTTGTCGCGAGAAAACTGAGCATGACAGGCTCCATTCGAAGTTTTGAAAAAATAAAATTTCATTCCGAAACCACGTATTTTCGTGTTCCTCAAGGTCAAACTTCCAGATATGACCGACTGGCACAATTATTGGAACATCTAACCGAAAAGATTGATGGTTTTTCTGAATAAGTGACGTTATTTGAACGATCAGACAAAACGGGAAGGGTTAGATTCGACTGACATGCTAATTTTCAAAATTTTGATTGGGACGTGAACGACACGTAACCTTTCATTATTTCGCACACACTGAAAGTGCGAAATCAGAGCAACAAGATTCTCAGAGAGAACAACAAAGGAAAAACGACAGCAGATTGAGGTTGTGATTAGAAATTGTCAGAAGCCACTCCGAGTTGTAACGATTGTGTCGCTACAATCGTTACTGAGCAGTTCACGAGAACAAGGAAGGGTGTTGGGACGACGTGTCCAGCCTTCCGAGAAGAAATAAGAGCGTTATTTCTCCGGATTCCAGAATCCTGAAGGGTCTCGGGAGAGAACTGCAACTCGTTATTTTAACAACTTTTATCTTCCCGGAATGTCTTGAGTTGAATTTAATTAATACCAAACTCGTTTTCAGATCATGAGAAGCTAAGAGTTGAGGGAAAAGGTTGTTCCATCTTCGATGGAGATGATGATTTTTATCTACTGAACAAAAGTATTAGTAATATAGTAAATAAGTAGTAGCCCTGTTGTTAGGAGTGACCTCGTGGTCTGGGGATACTGAGACCCAGCCATGAGCTCACTTTTTTTTGCATATAATTAAGTTAATCAGAGCGTTCTGATCGAAGCCGGAAACAGTAACGTTTTTTTTGCCGACCCGATGTTAGAAAGACCTCCAGAAGAACTGGCTTTGGCAGAGACGGTGAAAAGCATGTAAAGCTGTGTTTAGACGCTAGCCAGTCGTTTTAGAACCTAGCTTTATTTTCTGTCGATATGTACTTCCGGGCGAATGTTACAAGGGTAGAATTCAATTGAAGTTTCTCTAGATGCTTTAAAATGCCTGTGCACGGACCGTCGCATGACGGAAAGGATCATTTAAATTTACCCCTTTTTTAACCTAAAGTGATATAGTTTTTGACCGAGTGAACTACTCAAAATGACAGATATTGCCTACAATTTGGCATTAACTAAACAAGGTGCAAAATGCCGCCTAGTATAAATATTCGCTCTACTCCTTGAATACTATAAATGAATCTAAATTTCTCCTTTTTAATTAAAGTGTTGGGCAATTATTTGGGTTTTTCTCTCTGGTTTCAGAAGCTGATGGCGGAGCATTTGGCTTCTATTTTTGGAACCGAAAAAGACAAGGTTAATTGTTCTTTCTACTTCAAAATAGGAGCTTGTCGTCATGGTGATCGTTGCTCACGAATCCACAACAAGCCAACATTTTCGCAAACAATTGTATTGCCTAATTTATATCGTAATCCCCAAATGACGAACCCTGGAATGGGCGAAACTCGTCAATTTGATAAAACGGGAGTAACCGATCTTGAAATGCAAAAACATTTTGACGATTTCTTCGAAGATGTGTTTGTTGAATGCGAAGACAAGTATGGCGAGATAGAGGAGATGAACGTATGTGACAACCTGGGTGATCATCTTGTGGGAAACGTTTATGTGAAGTTTCGTTTTGAAGAAGACGCTGCGACAGCTGTTGAAGATCTAAACAACAGGTGGTTCAACTACATGCCTATTCACGCTGAACTCTCCCCGGTTACTGATTTCCGCGAGGCTTGTTGTCGACAATACGAAATGGGAGAATGTACACGAGGCGGTTTTTGCAATTTCATGCACTTGAAGCCTATCTCTCGGGAACTCCGAAGAGAATTATATGGGCGTTCAAAGAAAAGCAAGAAGCCTAAAAGTCGTTCAAAATCGAGAGAGCGACGGAGATCTAGAAGTCGCTCCGGAGGAAGACGTCGAAGGTCTAGATCCAGATCCAAGTCTGGTGGGAGAAGGCGATAGACAAGAAAAACAATTAACAGCAAACGGTGGCAATATGTGATATTATCTCGCTATAATTGATGTGATTTTTAAAGTTTCGTTCTTGACAAATTTAGTGTTCTGCAAACTAAGTTTCGAATCTGGAGAGTTGTTCAAATAGTCGAACTCGTTTATTTTGAAGCATTTTAAGGAATCGTTTTGCAGACATGAAGGGGAATATTATATTGACCTTCGTGATATTACATTTACCCTCGCATTGCAAGGGTATTGCAACCCGATATCGGACTTTTTTTCCCGTTTGAACAAACTTCGTTGACATAGCTCATCTGCTTGTTTTTTGGCATAGCATGTTCCTGCTACCAACTATGACCGGTCAGGAGCTTACTTTTGAAAAGTGATGGATTTTCTAAAAAACTTCGAAAATTTTATCGACCTTTTTATTTAGGTCGAGCAAATGGATTTTCTGAGCTCTTCCAAATCATTATAAAGACCCTATTTTGACTAAAATTTCTGCGCCGCACGCAAATTTTTGAGAAAGAACATTCCAAAAAGGCTTTTTGTAGGCACTTTTTGGAAATTTTTGACCAAATAATTGCGTTTTTTTGGCGCGCTCCTCCCTCATAATAAGTGTATTTTGGCGCCAATGGCGCCTTTAGAAAAACTTTAGGGTCAGTCAGCCAAAAATGATTATCTCAAAATAGTACAAAGGGGGACCCACCTTTGGGTCGGCAGAGGGTCGAATCCCTGCGGGGGGGGGGGGGGGGTGTCGAATCCCTGGATTCGTCCGCCCCCCCCCCCCCTAAATTTGCTGTTGGATGGAAATGTATATTGGCATAGTATATTTTGAAAGTAATTCTTTTCTCCTTTGTTCAAGTAAATGAGTTCCAATACTTGCGAATGGATAGTTTTTTCTCTAAAGCATCGCTTCGCCTCAATGTTTATTGGGCGTTTCACTTGACCTATGTTTAAGAAGTCCTTATTGACATAATGTGCCATTGTTTGGCAACGTTAAATGTTTTAATAAAAAAGTTAGTTTTTCAAAACAGCCATACATCTGTTGAAGCGTGAATGCTTTAACTGTACAGCTTTTTCCTTAATTCGCTAGGCAAACTTTTTGAAGCTTTTAGTATCAATGTTTATTCGACAAAATCAAAATTCTCAGCCCTATAGTGGTGTTCTGTCGGGGTACACCCAGGGATTGCAAATCTGGCCTTAAAAAATGAATTCTCAAATTCCTTTTGATTTACTAGATATGGTAATTTTTATGATTTTGTAAGTTTTTTTTGAAAAAAAAAATACTAATAGAACTTGAAATTCTCAACCCTATGGCGGGATGCTCGCAGAGTACACTATGGAATTGCAATTATGCCCTCCAGATGTAGCGGCTCCAATCATTTTGCTAATTGAGATATGTCGTTTTTTTTTTCAATTTAAAAAAATAGATTTAAAAAACTGTAAACTCTCCTATGGTAGGAAGCTATCAGGCTACATTCAGTGTTTGCAAATCTGGCCTGCAAATATAACTGCTTAAATCTTTCGGTTTTCGAGATATGGCTTCTTTTTATGATTTTTTCTTTTTTTTAAAGCACTGATTTTTACAAAATAAACAGAACTCGAAATTTTCAACCCTATAGTGGGGTGTTATCAGGGTGAGCTCATGACTTGCAAACCTGGCCTACAAATAAAAATGTTCATATCTTTTTAGTTTTTGAGTTATGGCTTTTTTTAATGTTTTTTTTTTTTAAAACTTAGATTTAATAAACACTAAAACACTTGAATTTCTCAGCCCTATGTTGGGACGCTATCAGGGTACACTCAGAAGTTGCAAATCTGGCTTTCAAGTTTTACTGCTCAAATTCTCTTGGTTTTCGAGAAATCGCATTTTTTATGAATTGGGGAATTCGTAAGGGTTGCAAATTTGGTTTCTAATTGAACTTCTCAATTTATAGTTTCGATATTTGATTTTTTTTTTTTGAAAAAATTTCTTTAACTAAAGGGTGTTTTTCAATATAAATCTGATAGATATTAGAACTTTCAAACTTCTTTTTTTTTACAAGATAAGAAAAGTGCAGTCGGCTTTTAGCGTCTTTTTTTGAGTTTAAAGTTTCCCAAATCTGATAAAGCTCAGTAAATTTTGAGGTATTATCGTTTTGGTGAAAAATAACCTAAAAGATGATTTATTGATCGTTAAGTTGAAATTTAAAAAAAGTTGAAATAGAAACTCCTGATGAATGGACCAATTTTAAATTAACGGTTGCTATAAACTTCGTTTTTTGTATTTAATTTCGGAAGCTCCTTCTAATGTCAACAATCTATTTGAAGCATCGTAGATGCGAGTCATGTGATAGTTATGTTTAGTTTTTATATCTCGCCATCTAGAATTCGAAATGGTTGGCGAACATATGGGTGCAGTGTAGTTTATGGGTGCGAAGCTTCTGTCTCTGGGTTTATTGTTTATACTAAGAGTTCTCTTGAGCAACTCCTGAAATGTGTCTTATTTCTTGTGACTTTTTCACAGATTTTACCGCAGTGGGGTCAAAGGTTATGATATTATCAAATGCAACACTAAAATCGTGGGCGATTTTGTTCTGGAAGTTTGCGTTTGCTAAGCAATGTTTTCGGAATTAACTTCTGCAGACCAAGTTATTAAATGTTAGAGAAGGATTTATCACCAAGTGAGAACTTCCAAGTGTAATGGAGTTTGCAGTTGTTTGATATTTGCGCCTGATGTGCTTAGTTATATCGTCAGAAGATGTGATCAGCGATGACATCTTCATATAAAAGTTGAAAAGGATACCACATTGAGGGACTCCATGCTTTACTTTTCGCATCCTTGATATGCACTGTTCGTATTCAACATACTTAAAGTGTCCTTGGCGGTATAAAAGCAGCCATCTTGTTGTCACTTGTGGGTTGTTCCTAAAATATTTCAGCAGCTCATTGTGGGCTATGGCACGGTGTTTTGAATTGTGGGCTATGGCCCGTTGTTTGTTTAGCAGGGGTGTTTTGAATTTGTTGTTCAGTTTTGTTGATTACACAAATCAAAGCTGTTGCCGTGGAGCGGTTTTTCCGAACGCCATGTTGGTGTGTTGCCAGATTGATGGTGATGACTAACTCTGGAAGCAGAAGGCGCTCAATCCATTTAGCCACGGGAGAGAGTAGAGCAATTGGGCGATAAGCTTTAGGTTGACTAAGGTCTTTGCCGAGCTTTAACTCAACTCAATTTGAATTCGTTACAAAGGACAACATTACGATCAGAATATATGTACCAGGAGTAGCTATACGGGCTGTGCAGCCCAACAAGTGAACCCCTAGAGAACCTAAACAGTTATTGGAGAACAAATAAGTTTAAACATGTATTCTATTGAATTCTAAATTTAATGTAATGTCCATTAACACCTTGTTATCTTCAACATACAATGAGTTAAGCTGTTTTTTATACGGCAAAACCTGATTTTTTTGTAAAGGATTTCAAGCCAAAAGGAAGAAGATAATTTTTTTTTGAAGAAAATTATAGCATTTGATTGTTTTACTTTCTGTGATTCTTGATTTTGCAAAAAAGGATTACGTGTAAGTCTTTTGATCACAGTGTTTTTTTTCAGAAAATTGATAGGCGATGTATCAAATATCTGCTTAACGGATATCATGAACGTTTTCAATGTCATTTTTGTTCGAAAAGGTATGATAAATGGTCAAATTTTATTTTGAAAGAAATAGTGCGCAGCACCCTTTTTTGAGCTATCAATATTTTGTTTAGAATTTCTTTCGACGTGCATCCATAGGCTATCAGACCGTATGAAATCACTGGCACTAAATATTTTGTTAAAGCTGGATTAGTGAAGTTTGAGAGAAAAAAATTCTGAGAGCGGTAGAAAACTCCATCTAACTTAGCTTTGGCAGTGGTTTCAATCTAGCGTTCCAATTGTAAGGAAAAACACTTGTGTTTGAGAAAAGTTATTAGCTCTCGTTGAATAATTTGTTGGGATTTGTGGTGAAGATAGATAGGTGCAAGTCATTCTTGTCCTGTCTCCTTGCTTGTTTGAACGATTTTATGGCATTATATGCCATAAGAGGATTGAAGAATTTTCATTCTTTTGGAGTGATTATTATCTACTCACGGTGATACGTTTTTCTTTTTGTAGTTTCGGTTGTCTCTGTTGTTGTAGCTTTACCGATTTAGCTTTTGTACTCAGATTGAACTGGAGAGACAATTATTTGAAGAGAGAGTTCGGGAAATTACGGGCAATCCTGGCATTATGGGAGAAAGCTGACAATTAGGCCATCAAAAAAGCAGATGAGTCATCCTGAAAGCCTCCCCCATTGTGTGAAGAGCATTATTCTGATTCACAGGCACAAGAAACTCACATACATGATCAGAAGATCATCACAACATTCTCACTACATAGAAGGGAAGCAGTTGGCGAAGTAATGGGTTGTTTAACAATCAAAAGATAGATTGAGACGATTCTCAACAGCTTTAGGCTAAATCGCTATTCACACCTGAGCTACGTAATATCGACATCGAAATGATATAAAACCACATGTTCACACGCTGCGAGACTGGGACAGATACTGAATACTTTTTCTTGTTTTCCCACTATGAGATACAATTAACCTGCAGTTTGTTCGGCAAACTGGATTTTTCAACCCCTTATTACAAATTGGAAGGCGCCACACGCAACAAGTTTTTCCCGCTACAAACTTTGTTCACAGGGCTCTTCGATTAATTTCCTTGGCGTGTGAACTTCAGCCGTTAAGTTGACCTGTTCGCCATAGAGGTGGCGTCAATGCTAGGGACGACAAAGGTTAATATTTCGAGTTTTAATAGGCCATGACTTCGTGGAAACTGCTGTCATAAAATTTTGGACTATCTTTTGTGTGCGTCATTTTGTCTGCTGTTTTTACAGCAAGGCTTTTTCTTGGTTTTAACAAGTTTTAATGGTGTTTTTTAAGTCTTTTTGTAGGATTTTTGAATCTGTGAGGTGCTTAGAATATGAGTAATGCGTTCACTTTAGGATCAACATATCGTGCATTCGATCCCATGTCATGGCAGTGATAGTGTATCAGAACGAGCTCTCACTTGACCTCTAGTTTCAGATCTACCACAGACTGACCGATTTCGACTGCAGTA